GGCAGCTTCGTAACCCAGTGCCCAACAACTGCGCCACCGGGGAGGCCCCCAAAATGTAATGTATACCTCTGGGATGTTAAAAATGTTCTATCCTTTGAGGGCATCCCTGGTGGCGCAAAGGGTTAAGCACCGCACTATGAAGCAATCCACAGCCTCTGCAGCACGGTTCGATCCCCAGCCAGCCAGGGAGCAACCCACACGGTGCAGCAGACCGCTCCTGACTCACCGCTGTTCCCCTCGGCAATGTACTTTGGTCAGTCTGCCTGTTCTGATCCCCACTCTGTCTCTGGTGAATCCTCTCACCTCGTTCCCCCACCCCCACCCCCACCCCCGCCCCATCTCTGGCCTGTACTCCAGCTCTTGATTGCATAAATAAATAAATCTTTTTAAAAAACAAACAAACATGAGTATCTCTTTAACATCATCTATTCAAGTACCTGCTGAATATTTACTACATACAAAACTTGTGCTAAGTACTAAGGGTACACAAAATGATTAAGACATGGTCTCCGGATTCAAGTTCTTAAACTTACAGAAGATCACATGTATAGATAACAGGGTAAATGTATATAGAGGTACATACAGAATATTATGCAAGCACAAAGGGACATCAAAAATAGCCAAGGGAAGTCATGGCAGCAGGGTAGGCTTCATGGAGGTGTTAACACCTGAGTCTTTCAAAGATGAATAGAAATTATCCCAGCCAAAGTACACTCCAAGAGAGGGAACAGCTTGAGTAAAAGTACAGTGATAAAGAAACCTCACCGTGTATTTTAAGAAACAATGAACAGCTGAAAGATGTTGCCTATGGGTAGGTAAAAGCAAGAACTATGGTGGGGTAGGAAGCGGCCCAACAGACAGGAAGATGCCAAGTCATGAGGGATTTATGACACTATCAAAAAAGCAAGATGGGTCAGTGAGGTTTATGCAAAGTAATTATGTAGTCAGATCATACAGGGAGCAATGCAAAGCGTGGACTTAAGGGTTGAAAGGGGGGGGGAGGGGCAGAAAGAATGCCATTAGAAGGGAATTATAAACTGTTCTGAGAGAAGATGATAAGGGCCTAAAATAGTAAAATAAAAGCTATCACAAATGTGGAGAAACAAAGTAAAGATACATTACGTTGCTGGTCCAGATACCACACTTTGAGAACGAATAACCTATACAAAGGGTCACAGCAAATTTTTTTCTGTGAAGGGCCAAGTAAAAAAATATTTTAGGCTTTATGGACCCTAGAGGGTCTCAACTACAGTTCTTGGGTTTTGTTTTTAAAATCCTTTAAAAATTAAAAGCCATTCTTAGCGTGTGAACTTTAACCAAAAAAACAAAGCGAGAGAGAGGGAGAGAGAGGTCACAAGCTGGACTTGGGTTATGAATCATCATTAGCTTGTTGATTCCTACTATACACCTGTAAAAAAGTGAGGGTTAATCTTCCTGAGATTAGTTTTCCTGAAGTGCTACAGGCAGATTACTGCACAACTCACAAAAGTCTCCACTGGTCCTGTCAACTGAGTAAATCCAATCCCAATGAAGCGTAGCATTCACAGGCATCTAGACTCTAGAGCCAACCTACTAATCCATTCTTCCATTCTTATTAAATTGATCTACTTACATTCACCTCCTTCCGTATCTTCGTGGTGTTCCCCAATATTCTTTTCTCCTCTTCAAACCTATCTAAGTACTCTTCCTTCAAAGCCTTGACCGGAATCCACCCTCCTCAGAATTCCTGAATGCGCTATCTCAATTTACCTGGTATTTATTAACTGTCTTGAGTTTATACTTCAAATATAAGTTCCTTTAGGGTAGGGAATGACATACTTTTCTCTACCAGTGGATCCAGAATATAACAAGTGATAAATAAACATGAAAATGTATGTGTGTGTATAGGTATCATAATGTCACACTTGTTTTTTTCCCTGAACTGGCTATAAAATTGAAGCAAATGTGATTTTACCTCTTGTATCAGTAATTAAATGTTGCAATCTATTTTTTAAAAGATTTATTTACTTAGGGCCTCCCAGGTGCCGCAAGGGGTTAAGACACAACCTATGAAGCTACCCACAGCCACTGCAGCACGAGTTAGATCCCCGGCCAGGGAGGTGACCCACAAGGTGCAGCAGGCCTCTCCTGGCTCGCCCACTGCTCCCCTCAGCAGTGTATTTCAGTCAATCCTCCTCTTCTGTTCCCCACTCTCTCTCTGGTGAATCCTCTCACCGCCCCCACCCCTCTGGCCTGTACCCCCAGTTCTTGTATGCATAAATAAATCTTTATTAAAAAAATAAAAAATAAACATTTATTTATTTATACAAGAATTGGGGCACAGGCCAGAGGCGCAGAAGGGTGAGAGAATTCACCAGAGAGCAGGGAGCAGAACAGGCAGACGACCGAAAACACTGCTGAGGGGACAGGAGGCGAGCCAGGAGAGGTCTGCCGCACCATGCGGGTTTCTCCCTGGCCAACTGGGAATCGAACCTGGGGACAGCTTCATAGCGCTGTGCTCAACCCGCTGCATCACCCGGGAGGCCCCAATGCTGTAACCTTATGGACAAAATTCGAATGCCGCAGGAACCACAGAATGACAATCACCTAGCACGTGTGTCTCTCTATTACACTGTTAAGGAGTCGTTTACTAGGAAAACAGTAACAACACATGTAGGTTTTTAACCAACAGTCAATGCTGTCAACATAGACTGGGATGATATTAAACATAGAAGTTATTAGGCCAAGTCAATGTTTACCTATCTTAGGCTTGCTTTTGAAATACAAAATAAGCTTTTACAACTAAATTGTCTTAAATTCATCCTTAATTTTTACTCATGTTTAAAGTCACATAACATACACAAAAGTCACACAAATCTGAATATTTTTAACAGTAAGGTTCTCTGCGACAATTCATCCTACCAAAACGGCATCATCACTGATTTCAATCAGAATTTGGGGAAATAAGAATATACCTAAATTTTTCAGAAAACAGTACCTTTTAGTTTACTATTGATAACTATACTCAGAGAATACTTGGGCTAGATTAAAGGATTCTTCTTATATTTTAGAAGACTGCTGGAGAAGTCTCTGTCAAGTCCAAAGTGTGAACTTTGCCATATATTCTACCCAAAGAACGTTCAAAACTCTACAAAAATACCTCCAGAATTACTTTGCCCATATTTCAATGCCAAAAAAAAAAAAAGTTTGGGGCCTCCGTGGTGGCACAGGGTTGAAGTCTCGGTGCTATCAAGCTATTACCAGCCATTGTGGCATGAGTTCGATACCCGGCCAAGGAGCTAACCCACATGACACAGCAGACCTCTCCTGTCTCCTGGGATGCTCCCCTCAGCAGTATATTTGAGTGGATCTGCCTATTCTGCTCCCCACTCTGTCTCTGGTGAATCCTCTCACCTCCCACACCTCTGGCCTGCACTCCAGTTCTTGTATGCATAAATAAATAAAAGCGAATCTTTAAAAAAAAAAAAAAAGTTTGAAACACTTCTAAATAAAATAAAAGCAGAAGAAACAACCCCCCCCCCAAAAAAAAAACCTGGCAGTTAAAGTGAAAACGGATCCTTCTTAACTCTTCAAAACAGAAAAAAGCCTAGTGATTTACAACCCTGAAAAAACTAGCACTTACTGGTAAATTTACTACAGTATCAATAATGCACTGACTGAAGCACAAACCCAGGAGCCAGGGGCTTCCATTTCTCAATGGCTGTTCTGCTTGGTCCCGTCTTAGGCACATCCCCATTTGCTGAACAAGAAAAGCTTATCTGACATTCTCGGGTTGTGAGAATTGACTAAATGTTTATGAAGAATTTTAGGAGCACGAAGAGAGACCATTACATGTCGTTAATCTAATACAAAACTAGAGCTAAATGTCAGGCTTGCAGATCCAATCATGATTCCTTTGCATCTTCTAACTCCTCTAACCACAAAAAATCTTCAGTGAGTCGGTGAAGTACCCGTATCTAATGAGCTGGTTTAGCAACCTCAGAAAAAAGAATTTTTTCCAAATCTCTGTTTTCTCACAAACCATGTCACTTATCCAATCCAACTATCTGCAACCGGGAAACCGGATTTGATTGACAAGAACCTTCGGTCTAGTTATTGATAAGCCAACCCTCCTGGGAATCACAATGGAACTTTCTTTAACTTACCAGAAATGTGCCTCCTGAAAATAATCCCAGAAAACAGTCGTTCCAACCAGAGCTTTATTACAGGGAAAGTCCCTGCACTTTTCTGACATACAGAACGCCAATGTTTTTAGACCGTGGCCAAAGACCCCACCGGCTCCACACCTGCACCCACTCGTCGGGCCGTTCCGGCCCCAGCTCGGTGTTGGGGTGACCACAGACGGGGGAGGCTGCTGGGCAAAGCGCTGGTGCCATTTCCAGCGGCCCCTCGGAGAATGACAGCAACAATGAACACGCTGACAAAAGAGTTGGGAGGCCAACTCCCGAGCCTCTGCGGCGCGATTCTTCCTCCCCCCGCGACACCCACGGCTGCCCGGCCGGCGAGGGCCGTCCCCTCGCGGGCCCCGCGCCCGGGCGCCCCCGGCTCCGCCCCGGCGGCGGCGCACCTGGAAGGTGAGGGGCGCGCAGCCTCCCGGAACCGGCAGCGGCGAGCCGCGGGCCCGGACTTCCTCCCCGAGAGGGCGCGCGGGCCGGGCGCGCACCCCGGCCGGGAGGAGCGCTCGGGAGGCGGGGGGGCGCCGGGCGGGGGGCGGCGGGGCCGGGCGCGCCGCGCTCGCGGGGGTGGCCGCGGTCAGCCGCCCGCTCCCGGGGCCGGGGGCGCGCGCCGGCCGGCCCGGGCCCGGGCCGCGTCTCTCCGCGGCCCGGCCCCGCGCGAGGGCGCCGGCGGCCGAGGCGTCCGCTCTCCGCGTCGCCCGACTGCGGGCGCCGGCGGGAGGTGCCGCCCGGCGGGGGAGGCGGCCGCGCCGGGCCCGGGCCCGCTCCCTCCCCACGCGGTCGGCGCGGCGGCCGGGGCGGCCGGGGCGCGGCGCGCGGCCCTACCTGAGGCGGTGTACCAGCTGCCGGCGTGGCTGGCTTCGCGGCAGACCACTCGGTTGGACATCTTGGCGCCGGTGCCGCCTATGGTGCACGGGGATGAATGAGGGGGCGGCGGGGCGGCGGCAGCGGCTCCGCGAGGGGACGAGGCGCCGCGGGCCCGGCCCAGGAGGAGGCGGCGGCGGGGAGGGGAGCGGCCCGGCCCAGGAGGAGGAGGCAGAGGAGGAGGCGGCGGCCCGGGAGGAGGCGGAGATGGCAGCCGGGGCGGCGGCGGCGGCGGCAACAATCACCACAGACTCCGGCGGCCGCCGGAAGACGCGGCCCGCGGCGGCGCCGCCGAAGCCCGGAAAGCCCGGGCCCCGGAGTCGCCGCCGCGCCGGCCCGGGCGGGATCCGCGCGCCGCCCCCGCGGCCCCTCCCCCCGCGGCTCCCCGCGCCGCCGCCGCCGACCCCACCCCGTGACCGCCGCCCCTCCCCCGCCGCCGCCCGCCGCCCGCCGCCCGCCCGCGGGCGCCCCGCACCCACCCGGCCGGGCCCTCCCGCCGCCGCCGCCGCCGCCGGCCCGCCCCGCCCCGCCCCGCTCCTCCCCCGGCCGCGCGGCGAGGCTAGCGGCGCAGCCCGGGCCGGCCCGGCGGCATCCGGGGCCGGGCGCCCCGCGAGGAGGCGGCGGCGCGGCCGCCCCGCGCACAGAAGCCCAGGCCGGGCCGAGCCGGCGGAGGCAGACCCGGAGCCGCCGGCGCCGCCTTACTCGCCGCGCGAACGGGTCCTGCCCACTGAGCATGCCCAGCGCCGCGGCCGGGCCGCCGAGGACTCGCGACGGGCGCGCTCCGCGCTCCGGGGCTCGGCGGCGGCGGGGGGGGCGGAGGAGGACGCAGCCGCAGGGCAAGCCCCCTCCCCCGCGCCGGGCGGGCCGCCCCCGCCCCCCGCCGCGCCGGACGCGCACCCGAGGTTTCCCTCCCGGACGCCGGTCTGTGGCCACGTTGGGAAGCTCGTGGGTCGAGGCAGGCACATGGCGGCGGCCCCGTGGCCCTGCGGTGCCCGCGACCGGCTTCTCGGGACACCCTCGCCGCCCGACGGGGGCTTTGACGCTGGAGCGGCCGCCTCGTTCCGTGACACTTGGGGGTGCCTGGGCTAACGCCCGGGCTGAAGTGTGCTGCGGCCGGCCCCTGCGTGCTCGTCTGCAGGGGGTGAGGTGCTCAAGCAGTGTCCGGAGGACTGCGAGTTAATGAACTTCAGGAGCCTGCCAGCAGGCAGACGTTCCCAGCTCTCAGCTGATGAAGCCCCAGCCAGGGAGTGTTCCCTGCAAGCGTCAGGAACAAAGAATTCCTTTAAAGTTAAGAAGCAGGATGTCTTGGACCTCCAAGGAAATGAAGTAAGCCATTACAAAATTAGGAAGAGGAAGAGAAAGTTGCATATCCTCAATGAAAGGTTTGGGGTTAAACCCTTGAAATTGTTCATCGCTGGTGGACTCGAAAGCAGACTACTGGCAGCCAAGCAATCAAGAATTGGTGCCTTAATATACCTTAAAAAAGCAAAATACCATTGGGCCTCCCTGCTGGCGCAGGGGGTTAAGCACCCCACTATGGGGCAAGTCACAGCCTCTGCAGCACAGGTTCCGTCCCAGGTCAGCCAGAGAGAAACTCACATGGCTCAGGGGACCTCTCCTGTCTCGCCCGCTGCTCCGCTGGGCAGTGTGTTTCAATCAGTCTGCCTGTTCTGCTCCCCACTCTGTCTGCTGAATCCTCTCAACCCCCTTCTTCTCTGGCCTGTACCCCGGCTCTTGTATGCGTAAATAAATAAATCTTTAAAAAAAAAAAAAAAAAGGTAAAATACCATCCTGGTCCCATTTCTCCCACCTCTTTCAAATTTAAATTCCAAGGATTTTATTGAGATTCCCATCCTAATGCCTGCTCAATTAATGGAATATTAGTGATTTACACACGTTTCTACAGTTATTAGGCTAAAAAATCTACACTGGACTTACTCAATTTTATTTAAGGATTTATTTTTGCATACAAGAACTGGGGTACAGGCCAGAAGTGCAAGGGGGTGAGAGGATTCACCAGAGACAGAGTGGGGAGCAGAACAGGCAGACGGACTGAAATACACCCCTGAGGGGAGCAGCAAGTGAGACAGGAGAGGTCTACTGTGTCATGTGGGTTGCTCCCTGGCCTGGGATGGAACTTGTGCTGCAGAGGCTACAGATAGCTTCACAGTGCTGTGCTTAACCCCTTGCAGCACCAGGGAGGCCCTATTTATTGTTTTTAACGCTTGCACTTCACCACTAGTCTGCCCAAATTATTCAGAAACTGTGCAAGGCCTCCCCCATAGTGCAGCGGGTTGAGTGCAGCACTGTGAATCTTTCCGCAGCCTCTGCAGCCCTGGTTCAATTCCCACCTGGCCAGGGAGATACCCACATGGCGCAGCAGACCTCTCCTGTCTTGCCTACTGCTCCCCTCAGCAGTGTTTTCAGTCTGTCTGCCTGTTCTGCTCTCTGCTCTGTCTCTGGTTAATCCTGTCATCCTCCCACAACTCTGGCCTGTACCCCAGTTCTTGTATAAATAAATAAGTCTTGGGCCTCCCTGGGGGTGCAGGGGTTAAGATGCAACCTATGAAGCAATCTGTAGCCACTGCAGCACGAGTTCGAGTACCGGCTGGCCAGGGAGAAACCCACATGGTGGGACAGACCTCTCCTGTCTCACCCCGCTGCTCCCCTCAGCAGTGTAATTTGGTCCATCTGCCTGTTCTGTTCCCGGGTTAGTCTCTGGTGAATCCCCCTCGCCCCCGCCGGCCCCACATCTCTGGCCTGTGCCCCAATTCTTGTATAAAAATAAATAAATCTTTTTTTTTTTTAAATAAATAAATAAATAAATAAGTCTTAAAAAAAAAAAAAGATACTATGCAGCCAAGTAGCCAATTTAAACAACAGAGAAAGGGAGTCCTGGTACTCTGAGTCCATGCTATTCTTCCTGTAGTACACTACTCCACGATGACTGATAAAATTGAAACTTTTCATTGTAAATATCAAAAAAGGAAATTGTTGCTATGGCTGATATGGTATTCATAACAGTGATACCTTTCACAGTTAAGTATTGCTGATTCCATTTCAATGGTTTAAAAAAAAAGTGGGGGGGACATGTGATACAATGGACTGAGAAAACATCATATTTCAGGCCCCTCAAATAAGAAACTGAATGCGAGTTCTGGCTATGTCACTCATCAGCTGCATGATCATGGACAGCTAGTCATTAAACCTTTCCAAGCCTTGATTTTCTCATCTGTGGAATGCAAACAATTGGTAGTATCTAACTCAGTCTTGTTCTTTCCTTTTGTTCTTATCCTCTGATCATAGTAAGGATCCTAAGTCTCATTCCAAACTAGTAATCTGATTTAAAATACTTCCTCCCTATTAAAATCCTCAATTGGAGGGGCCTCCCCGGTGGCACAGCGGTTGAGCGCTGGGTTGTGAAGCTGCCCGCGGCCTCTGCAGGACTGGTTCAATCCTCGGCTGCTCCCCGGCCACTGCTCCCTTCAGCGGTGTACTTCAGTCCTTTTGCCTGCTCTGCTCCCCGCTCTGGCTCTGGTGAATTCTCTCACCCTCCCGCGCTTCTGACTGTACCCAGTACTTGTATAAATAAATAAAAATAAATCTTTAAAAAAAAAAATCCTCGATTGGAGGCTTCTTCCCCCGAAAAGATTTTTCTTATCGGTCAACTCAGCAATGACCACTGTGGCAAAAATGAAAGATTGGAGGATGTTCTATTATTTCCAGAATGCTGTTAACATATCCCCTCATTACTCCTATTTATCTTATTCCAGTTACTTATTCAAGGACAGACTCTTGAGAGAATTAAATTGAAACTATTCATTTACCCAGTTCACCTAAATTAAGGACAAGCTATAAAATGCAAAATACTTACTTTGTATCCCAGAAGTCTGACAACACTGTACAATTTCCATTATAGCCACCAGGAATTTGGGTTTGACACTCCATAAACATCATTCATAGTAAAGGGCATACTAAAGGAAAAGGCCTTCATTAATGGAGATTTTATGAAGCACAGACTTCAATAAAAAAGAATTCACCACTAGTCCCAGCACCCAACTTTAAAAACCCATCATGCCTTCTGAAATGATGTCAGACATTCACCCTCAGCAGTCTGGACAACATATGATTAAAACAACCAAAATGTTCATCAATGAGACCTGTTAAATTAGAATATATCGGGCCTCCCTGGTGCCGCAAGGGGTCTGCAACCTCTGCAGCATGAGTTCTATCCCCTGTTAGATCCCCTGGCCAGCCAGCGAGCAACCCACATGACGCAGCAGACCTCACCTGCCACTCCCACTGCTCCCCTCAGCAGTGTATTTCAGTCAGTCTGCCTGTTCTGTTTCCCACTCTGTCTCTGGTGAATTCTCTCACACCACTGCCCCCCCCCCCGCAACTGTGGCCTGTACCCCAGCTCTTGTATGCATAAATAAATCTAAAAAAATAAAAATTAAAAAATTAAATTTAAAGGTCCTCCCCTGGGGGCGCAGCAGTTGAGCGCTGGGCTGCAAGGCTGCCCGCAGCCTCTGCAGCACTGGTTCGTTCCCTGGCCACCAGCGAGGGTCCCACAAAAAAAAAAAAAAAAATTAAATTAAATTTAAAAAAATTAGAATATATCCACACATATGCATCCATTAAAAGGAGCAAGGTGGGGCACTATACAATGGTATGGAATGAGCTCAGAGAAAAGGTGAATTGCAAAACAATGTGTAAAATACAATACCATTTACGTGAAAACAAATATATTGTCACTCACTTACATACACACAGAATACTTCCACAAGGAAACTGGTAACAGTAAACTGAGTAGCTGAAATACAAGTATGATTAAAACTTTTTTCCAATGTACATCTTTGTGTATCTTTTGAATTTCCTGCCATAAATACACACACACAACCTGTACCAAAAAAAAAATTATTTTTAGGCTTGACATTTGGAATCAACAAGGAAATATTAAACTAGTCATTTTTAATGGAAATGTTAAAATGTTCATTAAACATTAAAAAAGTTACTGATCCATAGCTGAGAGGTTGAGGAGTTCCCTAATTACCGAAGGCTTTTATCAGAAAAATACTCTATAATGGTACCGCAGGGTTT